GGCTCAATTGTGGTCATAAGTGGAGGACTCTGTTGTTTGTGCTGAGCCATGGAGGTTCAACTGGCAAGGAAGAGGATTGTGGTGGGATCTACCAATACAGGTAGTCCTCAACTTACAACAGTTCATTTAGTGACTGCTCAAAGTTACAACAGACCTGAAAAAAGTGACTTATGACCGTTTTTCACAGTTATGACCGTTCCAGCATCCCTGTGATCACGTGATCCAAATTCAGATGGTTCAGTTGCAGTGTCCCCGGGTCACCTGATCCGCTTTTATGACATTCTGACAAGCAAAGTCAATGGGGAAGCCAGATTCACTTAACAACCGGGTGACTAATGTGTCAATGGCAGCGATTCACTTAATGACTGAGGCAAGAAAGGTTGTAAAATGGGTCAACACTCACTTAACAACCGTATCACATAAATTTTGGGCACAATTGTGGGTCGTAAGTCGAGGATTTCCTATACCGGAAGCCTAAAAAGAAATGGAAATGAAATTTCTGATCAGATGAGGCATTTTCCAGGCCTTATCACCAACTTTTCATACAATTTGTCAGGAGAAATTCACATTTGAGCCCCAGATACAGGAAGTTCTCGACTTACGAACAGAATTGAGCCTAAAATGTTTGTTACTAAGTGAGACAGTTGTTAAACAGAGGACTATTCCTTTGCAACCACAATTGTCAGGGCCCCCATCGTTGCAATTGTAACTTTTCCCAAAAAATATTTCTATTTATGCAGGCTGGCAAATGTGCATGGAATGGCAAATGGGCAGAACATATACAGGTGAGTCCTTGACTTGCAACAGTTCGTTTTAGTGACCATTCGACGTTACAACATCCCTGAAAAAAGTGACTTGTGATCGTTTTTCACACTTATGACCGTTGTGGCATCCCATGGGATCAAAATGTGGACGCTTGGCAAGTGACTCATATTTATGATAGTTGCAGCATCCCCTGGGGTCACATGATCCCCTTTTGCGAACTTCATTCCATGGGGAAGCTGCTTAACAACCATGTGACTCAATTACTGCATTGATTCACTTAACAAGTGGTAAGAAATTGTCTCCAAATGGGGCAAAATTCACTTAATGACTATCTTGCTTGCTCTTTTTGGCAACTGACTCGGTTTATGACATATTTATGCAGTGTCATGTGATCCCCTTTTGTGGCCTTCTGACAAGCAAAGTCAATAGAGAAGGCAGATTCGCTTAACAACTGTGTGACTCACTTAATCCCTGCCGTTATTCACTTAACAACTGTGGTAAGCAATGTTGCAAAATGGGACAAAACTCACTTAATGTCTATCTTGCTTGCCCTTTTGCGACTTTCTGACCAATGGGGGAAGACAGATTCACTGAACAACCATGTGACTAACTTAACAACTGCAGGGATTCACTGAACAACGGTGGGAAGGTCGCAAAATGGGTCAAGACTCACTTAACGACTATCTTGTTTGCTCTTTTGCGACCTTCCGACGAGCAAACTCAATGGGGGGGAGCCAGATTCACCAAACAACCGTGCAAATAATTTAACAACGGCCGTGATTCACTTAACAGCGGTGGAAAGAAAGGTCGTAAAATGGGGTGGGGGAATCACTTAAGATGTGTCTCGCTTAGCAACGGAAACTTGGGGCTCCGTCGCAGTCGTAAGTCGAGGACTATAAAAAGGAAGTTTCTTGCTGCCAGGGGTTAATATGATGGGGGGGGGAGACATGTGTGAAAAGCAGCAGAAAGACTCCTGAGGGAGGGAACGGCCATTTTGTGAGTGCGCCTCCCCACCCTCGCAATGGTAGCCACGCCCACCTACCTGGCGTATTTTGTGAATGGACAGATGGGGCAGCCCTTATGCAAATGAGCGGGCTCCACCCCCTCTTCAAAGGGAGGGTACACTTTGTGAATGGGCCAATGGCATATTTCCCCAGCCATCTTGGGAACGGAAAGAGCTTCCCATTAACCCCAAATGGTGGCTTATCCTTTCTGTAGCCTCCTCAACACTGTCTAAACAGTGAGCAACCCAAGATGACAGCTCCCAAGATTCTGCATAAAGAAAAGAGGCGCCATTTTGTTTCACATTTTGTAAGACCTCGCCTTATAGCCATTCATTTAATTAGTGACCGTTCGAAGTTACAATGGCACTGAAAAGAAAAAAAAACACTTATGACCAGCTTTTCATACTTATGACCGTTGCAGCAGCATCCCCGCGGTCACGTGATCAACATTCGGATACTTGGCGACTGACTCGTATTTACGACAGTTGCAGTGTCCCGGGGGGGGGGGGGGGGTGGTCACATAAACCTCCTTTTGCAACCTTCTAACCAGCAAAGTCCACAGGGAAGCCGGATTCACTTAACGGCCGTGTTCCTAACTTAACCGCGGCAGCGATTCACTTAACCAGGGCAAGAAAGAAAGGTCGTAAAATGGAGCAAAAATGCCCTTAACAGCGGTCTCGCAGTCCACAGGTACGGTGGGCTCCACTGCAGTCGTACATCGAGGCCTCCCTGTTATTTTCTCTCACCCGGTGAGCTGAGATGTGCCAAAGAGCCTCCCCCGTCTAGTGGCAGTCTATCTGTAAAAAAGTCTAGCCACAGATTTACGGTCTTTTCCATCTAGCACCCGAGACTAGATCCCATGGAATGAATTGATCCCGACCTAGCGGATTCTCCAGGGATCCGAGTTCAAATGCTCCCATTATGCACCAAACCTGACGATCGCCCTCAGAAATTGGAATAACGTTACGCCCACAATAGTTGGGGAGGTGAAAAATGGGGCCTACAAATGTCATCTGCCGGGGGTCAGGAATTTGGGGTGCCCCCCCACCCCCGTGAATCTCTGGGAAGGTGAGGGTGGTCACCTGTACTGTTGGAAAGCAGCCAAGAAGTTCAAAGACTGGGCCGCCCTCAGATGGAGAAAAATCCCTCCATATTTTTTTTAAAAGCAAATTCTTTCATTTGCAAAACAAAATGTGGACAGGTAGATCTCCCCCCGCCCCAGGCCCACACACAAGGGGGACTCCCTTCCCACCCACCCATTTCAAATTCCGTCCAGGTTTGGATGGGGGGGGGAGAAAACCCCCTACCTTTTAATACGCTTTTACCCAGGAAGGGCTATCCCGCCTCATTTGCAAATCAGCTTACCACGAATGGAAAGTTGTTCTGACCATAAAATAAGGATTCCCAGCGCGGAGCTGAAAGGACTCACCTGACTGACCTGGGAGACACACAGGAGATTCCACACCATGGACAACCTGTGGATGGTAAGTCCCAGCTGAGGGGGCTGCTGGATGGGGCACCTGGTTGGGAGGGGCAGCAGAAGGGATGGCAGGATGGGCCTGGCAAAAGGTTTCAGCGGGCCCTGGTGGGTGGGAAATGGTCCTGGCTAGGACCAGGAAACCGGGCTTGCTTATGTCCTCTCTATCTTTTCCTCCCTCCCTCCCTCCATCCTTTCCTTCCTTCCTTCCTTCCTTCCTTCCTTCCTTCCTTCCTTCCTTCCTTCCTTCCTTCCTTCCTTCCATCCTTCCTTCCTTCCCCCATTGCTATCTCCTTTCTTCTTTCACTCCTTCCTTCTCCACATTCCCATCTCCTTCATTTATTTCCTTCCTTCCTTTCTTCCTTCCTTCCTTCCTTCCTCCCTTCCTTTCTTCCTTTTTTCTTCTCATTTCCTTCCTTTTCCCTCCTTTCTTCTCCACATTCCCATCTCTTTCATTTCCTTCCTTCCTTCCATTTCCTTTCCTCTTTCCCCCCTTCCTTCTCCTCATTCACATCTCCTTCCTCCCTCCCTCTTTCCCTCTTTAATTTTTCTTTTTTAAATTCCCCCTTCCTTCCTGCCTCCCTCCCTACTTACTTAATACTTCCTTTTTAAAAATCTCTCATTCCTTCCTTCCTTCCTTCCATCCATATCCTTTCTTCTTTCCCTCCTTCCTTTTCCTCCTTTCTGTCTCTTTCCTTCCTCCCTTCCTTCCCCCATTGCTATCTCCTTTCTCCTTTCGCTCCTTCCTTCTCCACATTCCCATTTCCTTCACTTCCTTCCTTCCATTTCCTTTCCTCTTTCCCTTATCCTCATTCCCATCTCCTTCCTTCCTCCCTCTCTCTCTCTTTAATTTTTCTTTTTTAAATTCTCTCTTCCTTCTTTTCTTCCTGCCTCCCTCCCTATTTACTTAATATTTCCTTTTTAAAATTCTCTCCTTCCTTCCTTCCTTCCTTCCTTCCTTCCTTCCTTCCTTCCTTCC